TGTTCAAAATTTGGCTCCATTATTTACTAGCAATGTAATCTAAGCTCCCTTTATCTCTTCTCCATATGCAAAATAAGGAATAAAAGTACCTCTCTGAGAGTTGTGAAAATTATGCAAGATAATATGAATACAGCATAGTCTGGCACTTAGCAGGTGCCCATTAAATTAACATTTTATACTTCTGATTAAGAGAGATAGCCAATACAGATATAATGGACAATGAATTAATCATCTTTGAAATCATGAATAAAACACAAAGCAGATAGCTACTGAAACAAGATTTTAAAAGGAAGTTTTATTTATACCATAACAATTAAAACAAATGCACACAACTAAGTGGTGCGGCCACACCCTAACAAAACTTAAAAGTGCTAAAACTAGTCTTTCCATCATTGCTTCACTCTCCACCCAACAAAACAATAAAAAATACTGCCTGTTCTCCAGCTTTTACCTTCTTGATTAATACTATACTACTGCATAAGATCACCAATTTTAACTCATCCCTGCCTGCTCTACATCACTACCTATATCAAATTGTCCTTGAATATTCTGTCTAAAACATCCCCTTTATCTACTCTACCCCCCTACACCCTACTCTCATTATATCCCTGTGACTAAAGTTAGCTCTCATTATTTCTTATCCAAATTGCTGTAATGGTCCCTTAAAAATGTTTCCCAAACTCAAAGCTCACCTGTCAATAATCCACATCACTACCACACTATCCTGCTGACTCACTATTGACCATAGAATAAATCTTACCCTGACAGCTCAGCTTGCAAAGCTCTCATTAACTCAGATCTAGTCTGTTTCTCAAGCCTCATTTCTAGTCATTCCCCATGTTCTAGTTACTTATAACATTACTTGCTAATTCTCTAATATTATATATATATATATATATATATATATATATATATATATATATATATCTGTAATTTTGTCTTTTGCTAGAAATGTTCTTCCATCCTCTTCCCACCTGGTAAACTCCTATTTCATCTTTTAAGGTCAAATTCAAATACGACTTCTTCTCTGATCAAACTATACTTCTATTTCCCAATGTTGAACTGTTATCAGTATTCCCATAACACTTTATAAATGCCTATACTACCTTCACGTTATATTATAGTTATTAGTTTACATAATTATTTTTCCTCTTTAGAGTCTGCCCTGCAAGTAAAGTAGTTCATATAAACAATATTTGCTGAAGTTCAGAAAATAAAGTCTAAGTCCAAGAGGCTAGACCCCAAACTTCATCAATATCTTCAAATACAATCAGAATGGCTCTTTAACCAGCATGATCAAGATTAGTAGCTGGGACACATGGGTGGTTCAGTTGTTAAATGTCTGCCTTCGGCTCAGGTAATGATCCCAGGGTCCTGGGATCAGGCCCTACATCAGGCTTCCTGCTTGGTGGGAAGCCTGCTTTTCCATCTCCTGCTTCCCCTGCTTGTGTTCCCTCTCTCACTGTCTCTCTCTCTTTCTCTGTCAAATAAATAAATAAAATCTTTAAAAAAAAATTAGTAGCTGATTACTTACAAAAGTCTGTTAAGGGAGGGCAACACACATACACAGTCCTTAAATACTTTAACTTAAAACATATATAGTAAGTATACAGTCCCTCTCTAACTTAATAACATACAGCCAATGTCTAGTCTTTAGTTTCTTTAACTGCATCTTTCTTATATAAACCATACTTGTCATCTATATTGTTCAGTTTCCATTTTCTAAAGCAGGAACCTTCATTTGTGTACTTTTTTCCCCCAACCATATAAACTACTTAATTAAATTACATAATTACAAGTATAAATAAATAAGGCCTGGTTACCAATGCAAACAACTCTCAGTATACAAATGAACTAAAGAGAAGTACAGAGATGAACTGAGGACATCTTCTAATGAACAAGGTTCATCGTGTATTCTTATGTTTTGGGCTTCAATCAGTGTATTTTATGGAAGGACTGGGAAATGTCAGTTACCCCAATACGTCAATTCAGTGGAGGTAGGTTAAGAAAGCTTCGACATAACTGCAACTGAAGACAGTCCTTCATGAATACACATGATAGCAGAATCACATTCAAATTAAATGCTCCAAGACAGTTTTCTTACCTGGTAAGGGAAGAATTACATATGGTACAGCTGTAATAGCCAGTCTTTCTCTTACCTGTCAATCCTGGCTCCTGCTTCTGGACATAAACATGGTCTTACCTATGGGTCCCCAGTTGTTCGTATCTTCCAATTAATTCATCCCATAGAAAAATATATATGTTTAAAAATAATGGCTCGAGGCACCTGGGTGGCTCAGTGGGTTAAGCCTCTGCTTTCAGCTCAGGTCATGATCTCAAGGTCCTCGGATCAAGCCCCGCATTGGGCTCTCTGCCCAACAGGGAGCCTGCTTCCCCCTCTCTCTCTGCCTGCCTCTCTGTCTGCTTGTGCTCTCTCTCTCTCTCTCTGTGTCAAGTAAATAAATAAAATCTTTAAAAAAATATAAAATAAAATAAATAAAAATAAAAATAATGGCTCAACCAGAACCTTATTCTAGAATCAAGACACCTGCCTCCCTTCCCCACCTTCTTTGTCCTTTGATTTCTTTAGAGTAACCATCCTACCCGCCTGCTTGGACTTGTAACCATGTTGTACACCTTGCTCTGTGACATCTATAATCTCCTTTCTCTCTATTGCCTGACCAGACTCTTAACTAATCGCATTACCTTTAGAATAAATGCGAGCTGGATTTCTTCCTGCTACTATCCAAGTGCCTGTCCTATACTTATTATTTATGTACAGCCAGAATTCTACACTTGCCCAGTTCTTAAAGAATTCTTTCAGTTTATCTTCTCAGTTGAGATCATAACTTTTCTACTTTGCCTTAGCACTCCCAATTCTACCATTCTACCACTTTTTCAACTAAAATCCAAGCCACTGATGGTTGCTAAGATTACAAATAAAGTGCAATCAATACAATTAGAATGAAAAAACAATGGCTCCAAGGCACTAAAAGATTCCACAAAAAGGTTAAGTTATATTCTGTACATGCTATTTGCTATGACATAATAAATGAACTTAGATATTTTAGAAAAGTTTCCATAACAGTTGAAATAAAAAAAGTCTCTGGATTTTTCTGTTAGTAAAGAAGTTAAAGGCATCAGAATATTCCATTTCTCTACATAAATCTTCTAATGAACAATCAATCTGTTATATTCATATTTTAAATATGAAACAACATAAATACAGCTTGGTTACCAGGTTTGAGAGAAGAAAAAAGATGATTTGTTTAATTCTCTAAGTCTCATTCTTATTTCCACAATCTGTAATTTCTGTATGATTTCCAAACCTGTATTGAGTAATAATAATTATGGCAGCTATAAAAAAATTAATTTTTAATTGATGTATAACAACTTCCAGGCTTTTTAACATCTGTGAAATCTTACATAAGAAAGTAAAAATAGGGGCACTTGGGTGGCTCAGTCGTTAAGCATCTGCCTTCAGCTCAGGACATGATCCCAGGGTCCTGAGATCGAGCCCAGCATTAGGCTCCCTGCTCTGTGGGAAGCCTGCTTCTCCCTCTCCCACTTCCCCTGTTGTGTTCCCTCTTTCACTGAGTCTCTCTCTGTCAAATAAATGAATAAAATCTTTAAAGAAAAAAAAAAGCAAAAATAATTCTTTCTTTTGATGAATGTATCCTTCGGACTAATCACAAAAGAAAGAAAAGGCGCTAAGATTACTCTAGCCTCTGATTCTAGAACAATACTAATAAAAGAATGCCACTTCAATAGTCAACTGCTTCTAACTATTTTCAAACTACTGTATGGACAGAGACATAAATGATAAAAAACATATGGCTTTAGTCATCATACACAGATAACAGAAATCCTATATTTTTTTAATTTTTTTTTTATAAACATATATTTTTTCCCCAGGGGTACAGGTCTGTGAATCGCCAGGTTTACACACTTCACCGCACTCACCATAGCACATACCCTCCCCAATGTCCATAATAACCCCACCCCCCCTCCCAACCCCCCCTCCCCCCAGCAACCCTCAGTTTGTTTTGTGAGATTAAGAGTCACTTATGGTTTATCTCCCTCCCAATCCCATCTTGCTTCATTTACTCTTCTCCTACGCCCTTAACCCCCATGTTGCATCTCCTCTCCCTCATATCAGGGAGATTATATGATAGTTGTCTTTCTCCAATTGACTTATTTCGCTAAGCATGATACCCTCTAGTTCCATCCACGTCGTCGCAAATGGCAATATTTCATTTCTTTTGATGGCTGCATAGTATTCCATTGTGTATATATACCACATCTTCTTTATCCATTCGTCTGTTGATGGACATCTAGGTTCTTTCCATAGTTTGGCTATTGTAGACATTGCTGCTATAAACATTCGGGTGCATGTGCCCCTTCGGATCACTACGTTTGTATCTTTAGGGTAAATACCCAGCAGTGCAATTGCTGGGTCATAGGGTAGTTCTATCAGAAATCCTATTTTTAAAAAATCTGTGTACTTTTTCCTTGTGTTTACTCTAATACTTCCTGAACATATAGATGATATATACAAATACAGCCTTTCTTCTCATCTATAAACTGATACTATTGCAGCACTTGGGTGGCTCAGTTGGTTAAGTGTCTTCCTTTAGTTCAGGTCATGATCGTGGGGTCCTGGGATCGAGCCCCGAGTCAGGCTCTCTGCTCAGCAGGGAACCTGCCTCTCCCTCTCTCTCTGCCACTCCCCTACTTGTGCTCTCTCTCTCTCAAATAAATAAATAAAATCTCAGGGGAATAAAAGTGATACTATTTTTCCTGAGACAAAACATTTATTACTTAAGTATGGCTTCAATTTAACAAACATGATTAAGTACAACAGAAAGTAAAGAGGTAAAACATCAGCTATCACAACAAAACTTATTAGAGATTTTGTGTGAGATGTTTATCTTTTAGGCATGTAAAAGATAAAAGCACACTGGGTATCATATCAAAAACACAAGCATCAAAAAACATACCAATTTCTTCCACTTCTTCCAGGAAATCATTATATTCTCTTAGACTAGGAAAGTCTTCTTCTCTTTTATTGTATCTTCAGTAGGAGAAAAAAATTCAACATATTACATATCTCTTGCTTTCAATATTATCTAATTGGTTTCTTTTTACATATTTTATTCATGATATATAGAAAAGGATAGTTGCTTACTGTGTAAAACACTGTTTTCTTGACACCATGTTTATAACTAGGCCAAGAATGTTGTTCTTAAATTCTTACGATTATAGAGAAGGAACAGAATTAAGAAACAATGATAAAATATGTTAAATCCTTCTAAAACTTAGGGAAAAGAAAGAAAAAGAAATTAGGGGCCAAATTTACTTCTTATAAATAGATTTGCTAATTTTCAGAAACCTAAAAATTAATTAAAAAAAAACCTTCCTATTTTTCATGACAATAATGGTCTGAAGAATACCAGATCAGAATACCGTAATGTCCTTGTGAAGAATAAGAAAATGACAAGGGATAAATAAAAATAAATAAATATAAAAGAGACTATCTAGGGCACCTGGGTGGCTCGGTCGATTAAGCACCTGCCTTCAGCTCAGGTCATGATCCCAGGACCTGCAACTGAGTCCCACATCGGGCTCCTTGCTGGGCGGGGAATCTGCTTCTCCCTCTACCCTACCTCCTGCTTGTGCTTTCTCTTTCTCTCTCTTAAGCTCTCTCTCACGCTCTCGCTCTCTCTCAAATAAATAAATAAAATCTTTAAGAAAGAAATAAAAAACAAAAGAGACTATTTCCCAGAAGCAATACATATGAGCAGCCTGGGACATCGATAAAGTAACACATGTTAAATACCTAGAAAGATGCTGCTAAAACACTGGCGAACTACAGGGCACATGGGCGGTGTAGTTGGTTGGGGGTCCAATTCTTGCTTTTGGTTCAGATCACAATCTCGGGGTTGTGAGATGGAGCCCCACATCAAACTTCTCGCTGAGCACAGTCTACATGAGATTCTCTCTCCCTCCCTCTGCCCCTCCCACTTCTGCTAGCACTCTTTCATTCTTTCTCTCCAAAATAAATAAACAAATCTTTAAAACATTGGTGACCTAGGTTGAAACATATACCACCAAAAATATAAAATACATTAAATTTATATATTAATTCATTAAACTTCAAAAACAATAAGGTGACTTTTAATAAAAGGACAGATCAAATAAAACCCAAAACTATTCACAAAGAGTAAAAACAAGGGGCATCTGGGTGGCTCAGTCAGTTACGCAAATCAGGCTGTGATCCTGCGATCTTGGGATAAAGCCCTGCATCTGGCTCCCTGCTCAGTGGGGAGTCTGTCCCTCTCCCTTTCCCCCTGCCCCTCTCCCTGCTTGTATGCTCTCTTATTCTCTCTCAAATAAATAAATAAAATCTTTAAAAAAGAGTAAAAACTAAATTATAAATGAAAAAGATACTATAAAAATATATATTATGTACATAATATATGAAACACACATATATAAAAACAAATTATAGGTAAATATATTATGTACATACACATAGATACATATGAAAACAAATTATAGGTAACATTATTTTCTTTTTTTTTAAGATTTTATTTATTTATTTGACAGAGAGATCACAAGTAGGCAGAGAAGCAGGCAGAGAGAGAGGAGGAAGCAGGCTCCCTGACAAGCAGAGAGCCCGATGCGGGACTCGATCCCAGGACCCTGAGATCATGACCTGAGCCGAAGGCAGAGGCTTAACCCACTGAGCCACCCAGGCGCCCCAGTAACATTATTTTCTCTAACAGACTTCAAATCTCAACTTAAATACCTCCAGAGGCCCTACCTGGTATCAGTGACCCAACCAACACTCAGTCACTAACTTCATAATATTCTTCTCAATTTATAAACACACAGTTGTTTAGTTTGCCTGCTTTATTATCTATCTCCATGCAATCCTATACTACTATACTAAATACTGAAAGCCTTATGAAGGCAAGGTTCATAGCTATTTTACTCATTTTGTACCTAGTGACTAATATGTATAACACAGCGCTTGCACACAGAAAGTACTCAATATGTATTTAACTAAATTAAAAAACAAACAGTAAATAAACAAATTATAAAGCTATCAATCAAAATGATCTACTCTTCTCTAACCAAGGCTAGATATTCTCTAAGTACTTAATAAATTTCTGTTGAACAAATGAATAGATGAATTTATAATTATTCACTTGCCTAACTGTCCATATTTCCATATTTCCATCAGTAAATAATTATAGCAATTATTGAAATAATACTTAAAGTCTTCTTTGTATACTGAATCAGTCAAACAATAACAATTACATTTTTAGGACTTTTTTTCGAATCTCAACCTCCTTGTCCACAGTAGGATCTTCAAAGAGTTGTACCCTGAAGTTGCTCTTTCTAAGTGGAGTGCCACATTCAGGACAGTTTCCAGCTCCTCTCATAAACAGTAAATCCACACAGCTTTCACATCTGTAAGGAGAAAATACGAGGTAACCTTTAAGCCAATACTTAAATCCAGAACAATTTTGTATATACTTTACCATTGTGGTTGTTTTGGTGGTTTTTTGTTTGGGTGTGTTTTTCTGGCAGGGGAGCAGAGACAGGAAAATTAATCATTGCTACATAAAATTCTCACACACAAAAAAACTTTTAGAAAGTATTTATTTACATTTGGAGCTTATTTTTTAAATACAGGTATCCAAATGATGCCAGTTCCATTTTACAAATTAAACAAATTTGCAAATTAAAACAACTGAGTTGGGGGCTAGGCAGATTCAGAGGTAGCAGGATAGGGAAAAGTCAAAGGGGCATGTAAAAGAATGGTCTGTGGTCACCTCCATTCTCAGTCCAGCAACACTATTAGATCTAGGCAAGAAAGGCCTCTACCAAAGGCCTCTACCAAAGAAAGGTTACACTTTAAAGCCCTCGGCAGACTACAATCACTAAAACAAAGACCTTTTTTTCTCTTTCAGCCTTATAAGGAAGTTTTTTTTTGTCTTGAGGTTTTTGGGGGGTTTTTTTGGAAAGTACAGTAAGCAACTGAACAAACAGGAATTACAAGGGAGAGGTGCTAGCTGAAAGAGGACTCCCTACCCCTGCCCCGCCCCAGGCCAAAGGAGAAGGAACTGATGGTACCCCAGTATCTACAGATAAAGGAAAAAAATCACCACTGCTTCTGCTCTGAGAAATCATAGAAGGAATGGTCCCTTATGAAAGTTTTAATCAGTTAAAGTTGGCTGCCCCAAATCCACCAGAAGAACCGCATTCCCTCCTTTCTTCTTGGGAAGTACAATTTGGGAAAGAGTATAGAATTTCCTGAAGTCTTAAGTTGGAAAAACAAGGACCTAGAGAGGTTAGCTTCTCTATACTGGATTCCTAGAGATCTATCAGGATCAGTTCACACTGTTTTTGATGGGTCCACACCACTCAACCATCCTTGCCCTGTCCCAAGATATCCATGCTACTAATCAGACTAAAAAGTAGAAAGCCTGGCTAAAAGAAAATAACAGTTCCTTCAGCCTCTGGGTCTTGAGGTTGCAGCCCTGGGAAGTAAGTGGACAGCATGGGAACTCAAGACTATGCCAAGGGTGTAGCTTAATTCTTAACTAATATTTAAACATTTTGATATACAGTCCTCTAGTTGTAATCTTGCCCAACTCCACACACATGAGCGCTACAAGAGTCCTAATCACTGTTTTCTTAGCATTGTTTGAATTTTTTTTTTAAGATTTTATTTATTCATTCACTCACTCATTCATTCATTCGTTCATGAGAAACAGAGAGAGGTGCTGAGGGAGAAGCAGGCTTTCCACAGAGCAGTGAGCCCAAGAAACTTGATCCCAGGACCCCAGCCAGGATCATGACCTGAGCCAAAGGCAGATGCTTAACCAACTGAGCCACCCAGGTGCCCTGAAATTATTTATTGATGTGCTGATTTTCTGTAACCTTTATGAAGATGGAGGATGTATTTACACTGCATGAGAGCAAGAATCTGGCCTATCTGTTCTCTATCCCCAGTGCCTGACAGATAAGTACTGAAAAAACTATACATAATTTAAAAATGAATATAAGAGGTGAAAAGAGAAAATCTAATGAATAAGGGGACACAAGGAAATAAGAATTTTTAAGGTTGGCTATTAGTAAAATAATAACATTTACCTTTGCATGTTTCTATCTTAACAGTGCCACCAAATATTAGAAAGGAAAAAAAAAAATCCTAAGAGAACACAGATCACAGTTGTCATTATCAAGATCAACAAAACCCCAGAAAATTCACTTCAGGATTCAGAAGATTGGGAATGGTGCATTTCCCCTAATCTTTGTGGTTAGAGAAAATGAAATCTAATTATAGAAGTTGAAAATGAGCATACTTTAAAACTATACTGACTAAAAATGCCTGCATGGCTCAGTCAGTTGAACCTGTTTCAAGTCAGGTCATGATCTCAAGGTCATGGGATTGAGCCCCAGGCTGGGCATTGCACTGAGCCAGAGTCAGCTTGGGATTCTCTCTCTCCTCTCCCTCTGTTCCTTCCACTCCTGCTGTCTCTTCAAAATAAATAAATCTTTTTAAAAATAAATAAATAAAACTACACTGATTAAAGATATTTATAAGCAGGGAGCCACCAAAAATACTCAAAAATATCAAACCACAAATAGTATTCTATATTTCAAGGTCTTGGAGAGTAGACTCAGTTAATAACTCATTTAACAAGACAATACAGGGGCACCTGGGTGACTCAGTCAGTTAAGCTGAGATCATGACCTCCAGGTCCTGGGATCAAGCTTCCTGCTCAGCAGGGAGTCTGCTTCTCTCTCTCTTCTCTCTCCCTGCTCTCCCCACTACTCATTCTCTCTCTCTCTCTCTCTCTCTCTTTCTCAAATAAATAAATAAAATCTTTAAAAAAAATTTTTTTAAAAACAAGGTAATACAGAACACTAAGATATTTCTAAAAGTTATACTGTATACTAGATATATTATTTGTTTACAAATCAGTTCTTTATCTTTACTTTTTTAAAAATCTACTTTAAATCATAAGGATTTCAACAGTATTTAAGAATTTTTAAAATAATTTATTTTCCTATACAACTTTCTCCCTTTCTGATTTAACTGCTATAAGAACAAATAACTATTTTCTTGAGCTCAAATATATAAGCACACAGAGAAAAAAACTTAAAGCTCTACTTTATTCTATTCTCTATCTCACTTCCCACAACTAACATACTACTTTTAGAGTTTATATGACCAATTTTTCTACATATTTATAAAATATATATTTATAAAGTACTTACACAAAGATTAGTTATATAAAAAAGAACAAAAGAAAAAGTTAATAATTGCTAATTCACTGCATCTGGCAACAGAGCAACCAAAACAGCAGCATATGGACAATCTCTGGCCTCCAAGAGTGCAACAAAGTTTTTCATACAAAATCTGATATTTTCCAGAGCACAGGAAAATTTGCTGGAAAAGCCGAAATCCTTAGTCATTACCCACTCTCAAAGATATCATTATGGTTTCCTCTTGTTTTTAAAAAAACAGAATGGTGCCCACCTTCTTCTCATTCTAAACAACGTATTTTTAGATTTTGTTCTCTTATATGAAGATTTAACTGCTTATATTCCTTTCTCAAGATTTTTTAACTGACTTACTTGCTTTTCTTTTTCAAAAGGAATTATTACTTCATGCAGAATTTCAATGCCTATTAAAATAGATTAGCTGACTTAAAAAAAGGTAAATAATTATACATTTTGTATTTAAAGACTGTCTCTGAAGTCATCTAGTTTTATCAGGACTTTCCATTCTTCTTTCACTCACTGGCTTCCTGAAACAACTCAAAACAGAAGTCTGTGGTCTTGGGGTACTCAGTTTAGAGTCTGCCTTCAGTTCAGGTCATGATCCCAGAGTCCTAGGATAGAGCCCCACATGGGGCTCCTTGCCTTCTCCCTCTGCCAGCCCCACTAGTCCCACCTCCTCATGTGCATGCACTCTCTCTCAAAAAATAAATTAAATTAAAAGAAGTTTATGGTCTTGAAAGATAAACAAGTAATAACTCCTGTTAAAGAAAAAATTTTCCCTATAATAAATTATTCCATAAACTCATGTGTACTGAACTCTATAGGGTAGGAGCTATTTATTAATTAAGGTAATTTTTTCTCTCAAAATATGCTACCTAAATTTTCTAAGACTGGTAAGTAACTTTTTTGTAACCTAAGTTTACATTGATATGTATCACTTTATACCTAAAAGGGAATTCATAATCTATCTACTCCAAAGCTTAAGGACAAAAACTACTACAACATAGTGTTTCAAGATACCAAACAAAGAATTCATCCATAAAAATAGAAGGGATGGCCTGGAACTGCAAGTGTTAAAACATTATAAAACATTATAAATTTCCCCTCATAGACTTTGGGGAATAAAATTTACTCTCAAAATTAAAAAGAAAGAAATTATGTAAACCCATTTTTTCCCACTGTCTTAGAACTCAAAATTAATAACTATTCGATCTTCTGTTGGATATTACCATTTAGCATGACAATTTACAACTAAAAAGCAAATAATACAATGCACAAATTCAAATATTGTGTTTAAGCCCATTTTGAGCCAGAAAAATAGAGCTATATACAGGGAAAAAGGAAAGAGCTAGTAATTTAGTATAGCTGTGCCAAGAAAACATGAGCACCCACCCCCCCGCAGCAAAAAGTGGATTTGTATCCTCCTCACAGACAGCAAGGACCATGGAATACATCTAATTTCCCTTTTGGCCCTCGTGTCCGTAAACTCCTAACCCAAATTTAAATGCTTTCTTGAACAACACTGTATATATATATTTTATAGAAAAAGGATGGAAAAGTATGAAAGAAGTTAGATAACATGTATTAGGGATCTTTATGATTTTCTTTATCCTACAGATGAGGTCACAAAGTCAAATAACTGACTTACAATCATATAACTAGCAAGAAGTGACCAGGGTCTGCTTCACATTCCACATTTTCTCTTTCAATCTTATCCTTACTCAAAACTTTTACAATAACCTAAGTAACAATCCCCAGTGTCTACCTCCAGCCCAAATATCTCTCCTGAGTTCCTATTAGACACTGCCTACTGAACAATTCCTCTTTGATATCCCACGGGTACATTTTTTTATTTAGAAAAAAGTTACCTCAAACTCAATATATCCAAAACCAGTATCTTCCACTCTATTAAGGATACAAAGAAAATAACACAAACTTTGTGCATAAGGGTTCATAATATAGTGATCGAAATAGAAAGAAAAAATAAAATTCTATAATAAAGATATACTCTGAATACTATTATAAGCTCTCAGCCAATAAGCAATAGCTCAACAAATTATACTGCACACTCTAGGCCAGCAAGCATTAACACATCACACTCCAAATGCTCCAAGCCAATGACTGTTCCAAATGCCCTATCCTGAGAGGAGTATTTCATAAAATATGTGGACTTT